AAATTTATATGGAAAACTAAAGGTCTCAAATGGTGAAAGCAACCCTGAGGGACTTCAAACTTTAAAGTAACAGTACTAAAAACAATATTGTACAGACACAAAAATACACAGGCCAGTGGAACTCAGAAATAAATCCACGTACATACCAGCATCTAATTTATGCTAAAGCAACAATGATCATAAAATGGGTAAAGGACTGTTTCCTTAATGTGTGGTACTGGAAAGGTTGAAAAGCCACACATAAAAGAATGAAGTTGAATCAATGGCTATCCCCATACACAAAAATAAACTTTAAATGGGTAAAGGTTTAGAGAAAAGAACCTGCAACAATAAAATACATAGAAGAAAACATTAGCAATACAATCTATGATAACAACAATAAAGGTAGTTTTGGTGATTCAAGCTCTATGACAAGGGAATTTAAAAAAATAAGTAATTGCGATTACCTAAACTAAAAACTTTCTACACAGTGAAGGAAAACACGAGATGATTAAAAAGATACTCTATTGAATAGGAGAAAATATTTATATAACTGATAATGGAATATCCACGACATAAAAAACTGATACAATTCAACAATAAAAAAATAAATATCTTACACTTAAGAGAGTAGCACATGTTACAGACTTCCAACAAATGTTGGAGAGGATGTGGAGAAAAAGGAGCCCTGTTGATGAGAATGTAAACTGGTGTATGGAGAGCAATATGAATTTACCTTAAAAAAAACCCTAAAAATAGAAATATGATTATGATCCAGCAATCCCACCCCTGGGCACATAGCCAAAGAATATTAATCCATCAGCACAAAAACCCCTGTGTTCCACAATGTTCATAACAGCATTATTTACCATAGCTAGGGGATGGAAGCTGCCGAAATGTCCATTGACGGACTTCTGGATCAAGAATATACTGCAGAGTATTATTTAGCCACAAGAAAGAATGAAGTGCACCCATTTTTCAAAAAATTAAAGGAGTTTGAGAATTACATGTAGCAAAGTAAGTCAGAATGATAAAATGCATGTAATTCACAGAGCAGACAATTCGACAACATAAAAAACACTTTCAAAAGCCAGTGAGCTTTAATAAATGTTCTGGAGGCTCTGCGGCTAAGAGGGAAGGGGAGGGATAAAAGGGGATATAAATGGCAGTGATTGGGGGGAAAGTCTTAGTATTAGCAGTACAGTTGGAGACAATATTCTACCTGGGACCAATTAGTGGTTACCTACTGAATGGTTATTGCTATGATGTTGTGAAATAATAAAAAATAAATATTTCCACTACATTCCATTTATCTTCTACTTAAGAATAGGAAGCAGTAATCTGATATATTTGTGCCTGTTTTTCTTAGCTTTCTGCTTGTGAAGTTTTCTTTACTGAATGCTTTTTTTTTTTTTAAATCATTGTTTCTTCTGAACTCTGCTAATATTTTATTCAGGGCTCTATTAAGATACATATCCTAATATAATAATCTAAACTGAAAACTCCTTAAGAAAGGAAATTTGTCATTATTTTCTTGATAAAGGGAAAACTAGTTCAGCTGGCAATAGGATGTAAAGAGAAACTGAAAAGTGAACCAGAAACCACAACTTGCAAAACTATACTGACTCACAAAAATAGAAAAAACTAACCAAACCATGATATACAAGAAACACTAATTTCAGACTCTCAACACCAGTTCATTCAGACCCACGTGTTTTAAATGAGACCACAGAAAAATAAGCAGTGCCTAGAATGTCATAAGTGCCATGCAAATAAGTTTAATGAAACAAAACTCCAACTCTCTCTCCTTTCAGCTTTCATTATTTTATGACTTAATGAGAACCTGTAGAAAGCTGATTCTCTGCAGTGATTCTAACTTCATCTTTAACTCAGTTTGCTCATCTGTGCCTCAATTTGCCTATCGCACAGTGGGGACAAGTAATGACACCTGCTTTGCATGGTTATTGTGAGGATTAAATGAGTCAATGTAGAGCGTTGATATGTAGAGTCTTAGAATACCGTCTAGCACAAAGAAGTCGATGTGTTAGCATTATGTGTTGCTGAAGCTCACATAGGTCCATACTGAAAAATTCCAAAATATCTTTAATACTAGTTACAATATGGGGCACTGATCTTAGTGGCAAATTACGTACCACAATAATGGCACTGAATTTTTAAACCTTCAATTAGTTATTTAAAAAGGCAAAGTGATGGCCATCCACCACTATAAAATTGAGCCTTTACTTGATTTACCCACTCCATTTTTTCCTTTTTGATAACCACTCTTTTGTTCTTATAGTCAGTTTGTTTTGTTCTTTTATTTATGTATCACATATGAGTGAAATCATAATGGATTTATATCTGATTTATTTCACTTAATACATTCTAGGTACATCCATGTTATTGAAAATGGTAGTTATTTCATGTTTTTTATACTTAAGTAGTATTCTATTATGTACACACATGGAAACTAGACTTTTGGTGGTGAACAGTATATATGCAGATGTTGATGTAAGACTGTATATGTGAAGTGATATTATAAACCAGAATTACTTCAATTAAAAAAGGAAGCAAAGTGGTAAGGTCTGAGAACAGAAAAACTTCCTCGTCACTGCACAGCCTACTTAATGCACCTCGATACCAGAGAGAAATTTAAAAAACAGGTTAATTTTGTATCTATGAAGGCAATTAATTGCATTTTTTCAGTAACTCTGCATTTTCCATAATAAATCTAAGTAGGGAGGAGGAAAATTCAAACTGATCAGAGTTGATTGGAAGAAAAGATCTAGTTAATCCCAGTTTACCTGGAATAGACCATTTGCTTTGTCAAATACATAAGAGAAGGAAGTTGTAAGTAGTGAGGTCCTGGGATTGGAAAATCCAGGACCCCAGCCATAATTTTTAAGTTCAGGAGTATCTGTATTTAGAAATAAAGGAGTTTAATAGAACTTGGAGTCAGGTTTTGTCCAGTGGGAATCTTGATATTCACTTAGCGACATGGGAACATTGTAGGACAAGAGTTTAAAGGTGCTAGAAGTGAAATTCTAGTATAGAAGTGGTAATAAGTACTAGCATAATCCTTTGAGAAGAGATGGAGATTTTCCGATTCTCCAATGAGAGAGGATAGTAGAAATGGGAGATTCCACTCTGAGAAAGGTAGAGGCTGTTGTGAGGAGACTAGATAATATGAAAACTCCATTGTAAATTGAAAGAGTTTATAAGGCCAAAAGTGTTAGTAAGAATAGATAATCTAAGTGATGAAAATACAGTTTCTTGAGGTTTGTATACAGAAGTATCATGGAATTCTGAGTCTGAAAGCAGAAGACAGACTGTGGAACCATTTTATAGATAAGGAGGGGATGGAAGGTTCCCTGGTGTGATAGGGCACTCTATCACTAGGGCACTCTAGAGTAATAAAATGGTGGTATAATGAGAAGCAACAAGAAATAAGGCTCCTATTGATGAAGGCAGGAAATATCAGAAAGGACGGTGTTTCTCTAGTTTGAGAAGAGAAGGATAAATGCAATCCCGGGGGGTAAAATAAAATATTAAGAATCCCCACAGGAAACGGATGCAAAATGTGGGGTTAATAGTGGAAGAGGACTGCAGGAGGAGAGGAGTGGATTTCAAAGAAGATAACAAAGAAGGTAATCATCAGAAAAGTAGTGGCCCTTGAAGAGTTATGAGGGAGGGTAAAGAAGACACTTGTTAAATGAAAAATCAAGTTTCAATATTAGTTAAGAGTTTATTAGATAAAGTAAGGATTCGAATCCTGGGAAGCAGCATGGCAGATTTTACACCGTGTGAACTGTTCCAAATAAACCTAAATTTGAATTTAGTTTATATAGCCAGAAACAGTAAGTCATCAACATCAGGAAACAATTCTTGGAAAGAGGGGGTTTCTGACTGTAAATAGTCCCATCTGGAGATAAGCTCAAGCTGGAGAAAGGCAGTGCAGGATCCAAACTCCTGCCTTCAAAGAATACCCTGCAGAGGTGCAAAAAGCCTGAGTACCCGCTGTTTAAATCTTCATCCAAGCTCCACAGTCATTAAGGGAGGTTGAAAGTCTTGAGAGGCTGGTTTACCTGCGGGCAGCAGAATTTTGTATAGGATGAAGCCTATAAATATGGTTTGTTAATTTGCTTGTCAGACCAGGAGTGGGATGTGCAAAAAATTTTACATTATGTTTACACTCTTAAGTGTGAGAAAAGCGTGTACAAGGGCAGGGCCATAGTGTTATAAAAGCAAGTTCACTAGTGTTAGCTGTAAGAAAAAATGTGGGTTCCCAATGGGAATGACTGAATGCTCCTCAAAGCAGGACTGAGGGATTCTCGTGTGAGTGCACAGAACCCCGGCGTTAATATGGGACTCCCATTCCATTGGAGAAGATGAGATATTGCTGAAGCTCATAGGGACGGGAAAGGAGGGCTTAGCAATTTGTAAAAAGGGGAGACTTCGATAGAATAAGTTATATTATGGAGTCCCAACGGGGGGGAGGGTCACACAAAAAGGATGAATCCCAATGTCCGGGGGAAAGGAGAGCTAGTAAGAGCAGAAGAAATACTCTGGAATTACTAGTAGATGGGAATGGGAAAATATGGGCTCCTAGTTCATTAAGACGCATTCCTGGTATTCAGTGTAATCAGACTATTTAAAGATACCAGGTAAATGGGTTCCTCAATTGGTTAAGGTGAGAGCCCCCAGGAGAACACAAGGCACACGTGGTTGTCCGGTACAAGAAAGGGGAGCCCTAGCGGGTAAAAGCAAGAAATTCTTGTGGGCAGGGCCAGGAAAGAATGTAAGAAACCCTAGGTGGGAAGCGTTGGCGCCATGGTGGGACCCTCATGAAGATCTTTAAAAATATGGTTGCAAGTCAAGAGATTGGATAGTGGGCGCTTCACGGGGAGCTAAAGGAAAACCGCAGTGTGAGGGCTAAGAACACGGGGGACACCAGTGTGACTAGGGCAGGCGATTATGCTGGAGCATAATTTCCCCCACCTCAGGGGCCCAGCTCCACTTACCCAGGCAGAGTTCAAAGACGTAGGCATAGTAGGACCAGAGCACGACGAGGACGATAACGAGCACTGGCACCCAGGAAAGTACCCGGCGGCAGCAGCGCAGACCCCCAGACAGAGTCATCTTCCAGCCCCGCCGCATCTTCGACTCGAAGATCGACCAAGCACGCCTGCTGGCGCTGGGTCGGAACTGCCGGAGCGGCAGCCGGGAGGCGGGAAGGCGCGCCGTGCGGCGCTCCACTGCCTAGCCTGGCGGGAGCCTCCCCGCCGAGCCGGCACCACCTGTGGGGCTGCGGCGCGCCTGGCGGGCTCAGCCGCATGAGTCACGGCGTGGAGGAACTGGCCCCGGAGAGCCGAAGGTGACCCGCCGGGCCGTCGAAGCGGGGCACGTTCGAGGGAGCACAGCCCCTCCCCTCGCTCCCCGCCCACCCCTCGCGGAGAGCGAGGCGCGGGGTGGACCGCTGCGGAAGGGTGAAGCGGAAGAAACTTGGGTCCGCCCATCTGCTCTTGCTGCACTGCGTCCCCCTCACTTCCTCTCCAATCTCTTTTTCTCGCTGTTTCTGTGGGTCTGACTCCGTTCCCCCTCCCCCACAAGCACACAGGCTGCGTGAAAGATGCGAACCGTGGCATCTCCCGACTTAAAGGCCAGCCACCCCATCCTCTCCCGCTGCCCGAACCGTATGCTTAACACGTAGGGCTGCGGTCGCTGCTTTGGTAAGTCTTTGGCAGGGCTCTTCCTCCTTCCTGCTCTCTTCCCTTCCCTCGGAGTTCTCTTTGTCCGTCTTCAGACCAAGAGAATATGTTGGTTCAGAAAAACAAGTGGGAGACATATTAACTCTATGAGGAGTCAGGAAAAGCTACAAAGGTAGTGATCTGTAACTTGAGTTTTAATAAATAAATAAAAGTGCAAGACTGAGGAGAGGAGAAGAACCTTTCAGACAGAAGAAACAGCGTTTCCCAAAGCACACAGTAATGAAAAGCCAAAAGTGTTCAAGGAACAGTTAGCGTGCCTCCAAGAGATGTGTGAAGAGGGACTGAGAGACTGGCAGTCTAGAAGGAGGACCGGGAGTGACGGTCTGCCAGGGTGTGTGGACATAATCCTGTAAAGCAGACTATGAATCTTGTAAAGCAGACTTTGGGAGCAATGAAATGACATTATCTGAGATGTATTTTTGTGAAAGAACTGGCAGGAAAGGAGACTGGTCTGGAAGCAGAAAGACCAATTAGTATGTAATTTAATTCAACATGTCTTTGGAGTGGTTATTTTAAGTCAACTTTGGTATTAAAAGAATAGCAAAGCAGGGACCTGTCCCCAAGACACTCATGTTCTCATCAGGCCAGGAGATGTTCAGTGACATAAGTAAAATAATAGAAGTTAGTAAACTTGACATTTGTGAATTTGATGCTGAATGATGCCCAAAGGCCTATGACATGAAGAAATTTGTGATTTTACTTAGACCCATATTTGATTCACATTCTGTGTGACTACATTGTGGTAGCAAGTATTTCAACAAGATTGCTGTTATTTATTCATGGTTACATGTACGGTAAAGTTTCTAAAGTAATAAGAGCATTATTGTTTCTTTTCAGATTAAGTTAGCTTCATGGTTTGTATCACCAAATAAATGAGTTAATGAAATGAAAACTCATTGCAGTTGCAAGATTTATTTTTTTTAAGATTTATTTATGCATACAGAACTGGGGTACAGGCCAGAGGTGCAGGGGCAGTAAGAGGCTTCACCAGAGACAGAGTGGGGAGCAGAACAGGCAGATCAATGAAGTACACTGATGAGGGGAGCAGCGGGTGGGTCAGGAGAGATGTGCCTTGCCATGTGGATCACCTCCGGGTGGGGGATCGAACTCATGCTAAAATGGCTTTAGCTTCTTAGTGCTGTGCTTTGACCCGCTGTGCCACCAGGGAGGGCCCGCAAAATTTATTTTAATAGCCTGGTTATTTGAAACCTATGGTTCTGATGTGGATATTTATCCTTTTTACCCAGACTTAATGATAACTGACAAATACAAAACATTTATATTTAAGGTATATAATGTGATGATTTGCTATACCTATAATGTGAAATGATTAGTGCAATCAATCTGATCAACACATCTATCATTTTTTGGACAGTTTTATTAAGATATATTTGATATATACATTGTCAAATATGTGTGAGTTTAAGTTATAAACCTTGTTGATTTGATACACTTATATCACAATATAGCTAACATCTCTATTGTATCATGTAATTATTTCTTCTAGTATGGGAAAAATTAAGATACAGTATCATAACAAGTTTAATGTTTACAATAAACTTTGTTGTCTATACGCACTCTACTGTGTATTAGGCCTCTACCACTTATTTATCTACAAGCTGCAAGTATGTACAAAACTCAGCCACCCCACAGCCAGTAATAACCATCATTTTACTTTCTGCTTTTACCATTTCCTCTTTTTCTAGATGTAATAGGTATATTTGTCATCCTCTGTCTGATTTATCTCACTTAGGATAATGTCCATCCATGTTGTTACAAATGGCAGAATTTCCCTTCTTCTCATGACTAAATAGTATTCCACTGTACACACACACATGAATATATATATATATATATATATATATATCCATAGCTGTATATATATATATATATCCATGTTCACTAAGAGTGAACATGGGAGTACCTGAGTCTTTTGTGACCTGTTTTCATTTCCTTTGTTATCTCTTGTCTTTTTTTTTTAACTTTTTTTAGAGATTTATTTATTTATGTATATAAGAACTGGGGTACAGGCCAGAGGTGCAGGGGGTGAGAGGATTCACCACAGACAGAATGGGTAACAGAACAGACAGTTCTACTGAAATATACTGCTGAAGGGAGCAGCAGATGAGACAGGAGAAGTCTCTTGGCCATGTGGGTCACCTCCGTCGTCAGGGATGGAACTGGTGCTGCAGTAGCTATGGCTAGCTTCATAGTACTGTGCTTTAACTGTGTACTGTGATGGCATCTTTTGCTGTACAACAGTTTTCTAGTGTGATGAGTCTCATTTATTTACTTTTGCTTTTCTTTCTCTTCCATTAGAGTTCAGTCCCCAAAGACGTGATGAAAGCCAATGTCATGAAGTGTTTGAGATTTTAGATCTGATGCTTTAATCCATTTTGAGTTATTTCATGTGTGTGTTGTAAGATAGTGGTCTAGTTTTATATTTTTGCATGTGGAAAAACCCAGTTTTCCCAGCACCGTTTGTCAAAGAGGACTTCCTTTGTCCGTATTCTCTTGGCTTCTTTGTCTAAAGGCTCCTAGAACATAGTTTTTAATTTCAAAGGTATGCTATTTTAACCAAGTAGACTTGGAGAGGCAGTGATTGATTGATTGTGAAAGGCAATGTTTGAACTGAGTTTTGAATGATGAATGGAAGTTCACCAAGAAGATAAAAATTGGGAGTAAGGGTTAAGTTGGAAAAAGGAAATATGTGGCGGACTTGTGAAATATAGTTTGTTTGCGAGACTGCATATAATATGGTCTTGCTGGAAGATATCAGAATCTAATCAAGATGTGATGGGGAATTAAGGAGGGAGAAGAGTATTTGGTGGGAAGAAGCCGTAGAGCTTATTGACCATTTGGAAGTGGAAGAGTCAAAAGTAACAATCACTTTTCTAGCTTCAGTGGATGAAGCACTGGTAGCCCCATGGTAGGGGCTATGGTGAGAACAATTTTGATGGGGAAAGATGATAACTTTTGCTTTCCGACATGATAAATTTTGTCTAAACCCTTCTCTTTTATCATAGCTTAGTCACCTATAAATTAACCTGTGATGGGAGGAGGGGGCTGGGGTAGCTCATATCCAGAGTGGCATGGAGGGCCACTGGAGAGACAATTCACCAACTGGTTTTATAAATAAAGTTTTATTAGAACACATTCATATCCACCTGTTTACCTATAGTGTATGGATGCCTTTGCACTGTAGTACAGTCATAAGACATTCAAAATTTTAGGCTTTGATCTACAACTACTGTCTGGTTCTTTGTTGCACAGCATGCCATCCTGTCGTCAATGCAAAAAGTGTTTAAAACTTGCAGTCCAACCACAGACAAGACTTGAGTATCAAACTCTCTATAAGGAAATACGTGGAGACTGGCCAGACTGGAGATGTGGGTTTCATAGGGCTCAGTATGGGACCTGGGAGTTTTCACTGAAGGCATCTGGAGATGCCTTTAAACCAGAGTGTAACAAGCTGGACTGAAAACAGTGTAGGCAAGATAAGGACTAAGTAGCAGGACTGGTTACTCCAAGTCAAAGCGTGTTTGAGGCAAGAATTTGAAGCCAAGATACAAAGTAAGACACCCAGAGTTGGGGTGGAGGTATAGGGTAAGGGGATGAAGTTGGGGTAGGGTAGAATGGGAGGGTGGAAAGCAGGGGTTTTAGGAATGAAAGGAGAGCAGAGCAAATGTAAATGAGTTCGGACAGGTCATTTGGTGGCTGGGTGGTTTGGGTATAAGGAAAGAATGCCAGAATGAAAGTGTGTTTTGAAAGGTAGTTAAAGGAAATCTGAGGTGATCTATAGGATACCTGTTAGTATTTGTAGGTTAGTTTTTATGGGTTAGCTGAGGCGTGATATTTTTATAGGTCAATCAGATTACAATGTAGCAGTACAGACTAATTTTTCTTGGGTTGGGTCACACTATTCTTACGTTTGCCTGAAGGGGAATTATGACATTCTGGACTATTTCACAGTGACAGGAAAACACTCACAAGTGCATTTCTAGGTGATACCCGTTTAATTGCAGCAAGTATTGGAATTGATTAATATTAGTGGGAGTCTTAATTCTTGTTTTACAATGTATCCTGAGTCTTTATATATGAAGTTTCCCAGGCAAATGAAGAAGCATGGAATGACTTTAGTGGGCAAGACCTAAGGGAGCAGAGGAAGTAATATTAAAACTGTTTCAGTGGGAAACAATTAGAAAGGTAACACCTAGCATGGTCTTCAGTAGCCACAGATATTGACAGCGTTGGGTAATGCTGATGTGTCTGGAAGGGAGCAGGACAGAATGTTACGGTTTTACATTTCCCTTGGAGTGTTCAGCACACTGTCTCGTAGGTACTCTTGAGTGACCTTTACCTCTCCCGGATTTTATGGAAATTGCCAGTGTTGTGGTATTTGCTCAATGGTATATGGAAACTGAGGGGACAAAAACCAGTTACAGATCAGTGTTTGGGTAAACAGTACAGTGAACAAAATCAGTGTGGTAATATAGAACAAATCATTTTGTTTGAGGAAGTATAGCA